CATTGGTCTAGACATTGATATCCAAATCCTTAAATTGAGAATATATATATATATATATATATATATATTATAAAACTCATTATCAGTTTGTTTTGAACATTGTTCCTAATTATAGGGTTCATGATCCTCTTCAGATGAGATATAATTTTCCTCCTAAAGGACTCGTAAATCTTTATCCGTTGATGAATCTTCCCTATCACTGTTATCTGAACCAGAATTTTCTGGGGAAGAATTTAATAGAATCTTATATAAAGAATCTTTAGTCTTATCATCTATGTCAAGGTTCTTAATATTATCTTTGACCTTGCAGTCCCTGGCATAATGACCTACCCTACCACATTTGTAGCAAGCATTGAGATTCTTAGATTTTATAAAATCTTTTTTTTTCTTTATAAAGACTTTTCCTGTTCTTTTTCCGCTCTTGTTTTTTATCAAAAGATCCCCTTTTCTTTTTATAATTTTGAATTATTTTTTCTTCTTACGAGGCTTTTTCCCTATTTGCATGGATATCTATGGCGAATTGATCACAAAACTCCCCTAGCTGCTATCTTTCATTAAGACGATGTTTCTTAATCTGCTGATTCAGCTTAATCTCATTATATAAGGCTAAACCTTCTTGAGTACATACACTAAATAATTTTTCATAGGATTATACCTCATAATTTATATTCATTGTTGTGCCACGAAGGTCTTTTCTTAAACTTTCAACAAAGAATAGTAGGAGTCCGTCAATAAATTTGGACTTCATATTACATTCTGGCAATTTCATAACTCTGAAAAGGAAAACATCTTTATACCATCTAAAAGATGTTAAGATTTACACCTAAGATTTTGAAGCATAGTTCTTGCATTTGATATCTAGAACTTACCCTATGTGTTTGCAAAATAAAATAGTAGTTTTATCCAGTCTTGGAAGTGATATAGGCATTTCTTTGTTGAACAAGATATATATAGTTTACCCGCCTAATTGTTATGTATCGTAGTTAACCCTTTGAACCTATAATCCTGTTTCTTTGGCAACCACATTACAAGCCTTACCCATTTGTTTGAATTAACCATCTATTTGAATCTTTTCACCTCTCATGAGCACTTGAATTGTTATGAACTTTGTAAAAGTTAGAGTTTAGGGTGGTTGGTTTGGCTTTTGAGTGAAACTAGTGAAATAAGGAGAAATGTGCAATGTTTTGAAAAAGTAAGAGCCACTTGAATTGAAAAGACAAGGAAAAAGGAAAAAGGAAAAATAGTTGTATTGTTGTGCAAAATTCCTTGATAGTGGTGACTCTTGAAGTAATTGTGCTTAAAAAAGTATAGAGTTAATATATATTGATGTGAAGTTGGAGTTATGGTTTGACATAAGTGTGGGGTTTTAAATGTTAAAGTATATATATTAAAGTTCTTAGGAAGGTGTAGTCACTATTATATCTAAATATATCCTACCCGACCCGCAACCTATATTACAACCAATTAAAGTCCTACTTGATCCTAGACTGAATGAGATCAATTAGTAGAGTAGTACACTATGGGCAAGCCTATGGTTCATCTTTGTGGCATATGAATGTTGTTTTTGATAGTGAGTGAATTCTTTCTATCTTGAGTTCCTAATGGTATTAATTTCTATTGTGTGTGGAACTACTCTCTATTGTTGTGTGAGGGCACTTGATTCATGAAGGAAAGGCAATGTTGTTGACCTCTATGTTAGAGTAAATGAGTGAGTTGTGAATAATGTGTGGTACTTGTGAGTCAAATTTTGAGGCAAGGATGTTACACTATTGTGCTTAGTCTATTTTAAATACTCTTGGTGTGATGAGTTAGGAGAGTTGCTTAGTAAGGTTGTGTCTATATAAAGTGTGATTTCATTGCTCGAGGACGAGAAATAGTTAAAGTGTGGGGTGTTGAGGATAGGCTAGAATTACGTATTTTAGTCTCTTATTACACTCTAATTTACTGCACTTTAATTGAGTTTGAGCTTTAATCGCTAGTGTTTTGCACTAAATGTGTGTTTTATGCCTTGTAGGAGTAATTTCGATCTATGTAGATGTTATGGAATGAATTCAAACTATTCTGGAGCTTTGAAGTCTGAGTAAAAGCTCAAGAATTAAGTTAGGATCGTGTTCGGGGAGCAACGGGTGATAGTGCACTTTAAGAACGAAATGAAGAATTGAGCAGGCATACTGAGCATTGTCGAGTAAAATGCACATAACTTTTTGCTCAGAAATCCGTTTGGACTCCACAATATATCGTTGGAAAGCTATTTAAAAGGGTTACAACTTTCATATTTTCCATTTTTTAAAATTTCCACAGTCGCGCCGTGTGGGGCACTGCATAGCGCGCTGCGGCTGTGTAAATTGATGTTGCCCTCAAATTGCATGCTCTCTGAAGTTCCCCACAAGCACACAGCGTGGCGCGTCGTTCCATGCAGCGCGCCTGCTAATTTTTACAGAGTTATTTTCCTATTTCGCTATGGAGAAGGTATTTTCGTCTAGGCCCGACCCTACTTGGTATAAATACATGTAAAAACGTCAGTTTTGCGACTTTTGACATACTTTAGACCAAGGGAGAGCACAGAGCCGCCGTGGAGGCCGGGTTTCATCTTTTTTTCCACCAAATTTAGTAATTTTTATGTTTCTTTATATGATTTGTTGTTTGCCTACCATGTCTATGTGGAGCTAAACTTCATGTTCTAGGGTTGTGGTTCTTTCATGACTATTGTTATTCGAATATTGATTTTGATTTCTTGATTTATTATATTGGTTTATTTATTCAATCTTGTGCTTAATTATTTGATTGATTGATCACCAATTGAATGTTATCTGTGAATCTAGAGTTGAACTCGAAAGTAGGAATTCTAGATTGCATATATGATTGAGTAGAGCAAGTTCTTGAACCTGGGCATCAGGGAATGAATTCGCGATTAGGATAGACATATACCTAATTGTCTTGCTTGGTTGATTTACAGGAATTATAAATGCGTTCTTGTTAGTCCTAATTCCATAGACATATAGGCGTTAGATTAGTTTGAATATGCGAGTAAGAACTCGACAGATTCTTATAAGAAATATTAATCTTGACAACCAATAAACCAGATAAATTAATTAGTCAGTTCAATTGAAGAATACAATAGGATTGTTAGATAGCCCATAACCTAGATCGTTTCCATTGCATTGATAACATAAAAATCTGCTATCCTTTTATTTAGAGTTCATTATTTGTTTTCTTTTTATTTTAATTATATTAGAATCAAATACTTCTAGGTTTAAGTATTGTTTAGATAATTAGGATAGTCTAATTCAGTTAATAGTTAATCACAAGTTCTCGTGGGTTCGACATTTAATTTTTAGTCATTTTATTACTTGATAACCGCGTATATTTGCGTATGTATTTGACCGAAACAATAGTTACAAAGTCAGCAAGTTGGGTCTTATTGACGCAATTATATTCAAGTTCAAGTATTCAATAGGTACTATACTCTATTCCTGTATTTACATGGAATCTCATGACAAGTTAAGGGCCCTCAAGTTATTCAGCCTTTCATAATCTTCATTGGCTTAGTTTTCTTTTCCATATTTTACTGCAAAAACAGTAGACAAGAAGCTGATGCACGAGACAATTGCTGCTGCTTTGATGGAAAAGAAAAGGCGAGAAGCTGATGCAAAAACAAAAGATGAGAATCTAGGGTGTGTTTGGTATAACGGAAAATATTTTTCAAGAAAATATTTTTTTGGAAAACAAGTAGTAATTTTATTCATTTTTCGGTATTTGGTACGCAAATTAAGGAAAATGACTTCTTAAAAGATAAATAATTTAGATATAATAAACATGAAGTCATAAACTTTCAAACCAATAACTTTCCGAATCCATAAATTTCATAAACTTTTGAATCGTTAAACTTTCGAAACCGCGAAATTTTCGAACCCGTAAACTTTATAATTTTTAAACTCGTAAACTTCANTTTTTTGGAGAGGGGGTGTGATGGGTTGGTGCGGGTGCAGAAGGTTGAGAGCGGAAGGTTGAGAGGGAGTTTTGAAAAATATTTTTCCTTCTCTTGTTCGTAAAGTAAATATTTTCCAAAACATTTAAGCCAACCAAACAGGAAAAAATTGAAAAAACTCGTACCAAACACACCCCTAATCTTCATTGGATTTCACCGAACTGCTGCTGCTGCTTCTTCTTAATTCCATATACCTCAATTCCCAAGTAATTCAAAAACTCAAAACAGAAGTAACCTAAGAAAGTACACAAAAGCAGAGAGACCAAATCCGCCGGAGTAATCTACTGCGTCGACTCTGCCACCGCTGTACTCGTACGTGCCGACAAAGATTCATCTAGAAAACTTAATCGGCATTGGTGTTGATCTTTTTTGCCTTCTCATCATCTTGTTTTTTCTCTAAACTAAATTGGAGAAAATTAAGAGAGGAAAAACACTATGGACAGAAAATGACACAAATGAATGAAGATTTGAGAGGATTTTGACTGATAACTATCCATTCCAACTAATATTGGAGACACTTTTTAACTAAAGCAAGATTCTAAGAGTGAAAACCTGATCCAAAAAAGAAGAAAGAAAAACTGAAGATACATTAAAGTAAGAATTTTTTCGGTGGTCTGCAATATTTTCAGATGGGAATGTGAGTGAGCAAAAAAAAAGTAAGTGATTAGAAAGAAAAAGAAAAAGAAACTAAGAAAAGAATAAAAAGAAGTGGAAAAAAAATTAGATGAAATACACTATCCTTCATCTAGGGGCTATAAGGAGATATTCTTAGGGTCGTGGACTACTTTGCGGGGAATTTGATGTATTTTTCCCAAAAATTACCTAAGAAAGTGACTCCACTCTGAAGACAAGCAAATAGTCCAATTATGTCGATATTTCCCAATTTATCTGTTGTAGATCAATTTATAAATACAAACATGGCTGCTGAAATATGGAAAAAAAAAAGACGAAAAATGTGTAAGTATGCATGCATAGCTGTGTGGAGTGAAGGGTAAACAATTTAGATTCAGAGTTCAGACGTTAAACCATGATTATACTTTTGTTGTCTACATGATGAAAGATCATCCTCTTTGCACATGATCAAAGCTTTTTCAGCATTCAGATACAGGATAATGCATTGAAGAGGGGAGACCTTGTTTCTCCCCTCAAACAAAAACAAAAAGCAATTAGAGGAAAAGCACCAGATGAACACCAAACTCCAAAATTTATCTCCCAACGTGAACAAAAAAATGCTTTTGACACAGCTATTATGTAAAATTCCTTCCCACCCACCCAAAATAAGAAGAGCCTCTTCTGTACAGTTGCAGGACATTAGTCTGACCAAATGGACCAAAACCATAGAAAAACAGGATGCAAAAGGTCTGCAATGTTAACTTCACCAATTAAGTCACCTTCAGCTGCAGGATAAAGTGAAACCTGAAACAGATCAGCAAATATAAGAAGGCTGGCGAAATATAGAGTGAAGAGGTGGTATAATAAGAAAAAGTCCTTCCCAGCCGATGAACAAATAGAGAAAGAGCTGAATAGCAGTTTACAGTGCAAAAGAAAGAGCTTTAAAGCAGTATAGATTAAGGGCATATTGACATTCCCCTCAAAAAGCATGGAATTATAAAATTCGATGTGTAACCTACTGCTAAACCTAGCAGTTTAAGGCTACGCTTTGACCACTTGGCACACCTTTCGCAGTATAGGTCTACTAAATAGACAAGAAAAAACAATGTTCATACTTGGAGTTATTGTAAAGGTATAATCTTAGTCAAGCTTCTTTTATCTTCCTCATGTCTGTTATCCTTTTTTGACAGACTTTAATGTACAGCTATAAGTTTACCATTACTTACATTCATTTCATTAGGGAAAGAAATATTACTCCCTTACATTCATTTCATTAGGGAAAGAAATATTACTCCCTCCGTTCCACTTTATGTGGCAACATTTTCTTTTTAATTCATTCCAAAAAGAATGGCAGCTTACAAATTTTGAAAACAATGAACTTCTCATTTTGTCCTTAATGTAAATGATTATAACCATCTCGTTAAATTCCGTGCCTATTCAAACTTTGCCACATAAAGTGGAATGGAGGGATTATTCAGCAGACCACAAGTTGTTATTATTTTTTTCATTGTTTATAATTTCTTTTTAAAGATTACTATATCCCAATGCTTCCCGAGGGTCAAACTAAGTGAACTTTGAATATCTTTTTCCATTTTTTTTATAGCCAAGAAATCTTCAAGGGCCAGTGGGGCACAGTTTAAAACTCGGTGGATAATGGGTCCGCACCCTTCTCCATTAAATACCAAACTTTTGTCTGCAACGAAATTTGAACCCGTGACGCGTGCGATCTACATTCCCGTCACTAGACCAAAGCCCTAGGAGCTGAATATCTTCTGTAGCTTTCAATAAGCAAAGAGGAGCCGAACAAATGCATAAGGATATTTTATTTCTAAGAAATGATATCCTTGGATTTTATAGCCAGTAAAGTAACATGCCTTACCTTAGATTTTGCCTCCTACTAGCACACTATACTAAAGCACTATTTCGTCAACTTACCTTCACTTGATAATATAAAAATGATCAACTGCTGTAAAGTCAAACAATTAAAAAAAAAAAAAATGGGATGGTGAGACTACCTTGCACTCAAGGGCTGGCTTGAGAACTATTTCAGCTTGGCACCCTTCAGGCCCTACTCAATGTTATGCATTCAGCACAGAAGACATGTAAATTAATAGCTGAGCTTAAGCCTCAAAATTCCTGACTAACAGGCTTCAGGCTACCATGCACACTACGGTTAGCTCTCGAACTATTTAAGCTATCTTCAGGCACTAGTCAATATAACCCATACAGAGCAGAGGTCGAGGTAATTTTATAGCTGAGCTTAAGCCTCAAATTTCTTGGCTCACAAGCTTCTTCACCCTCCAAGGTGTTTCATATCCAGCTTCTATCCTACGTAACACTCGCTCCTGCTTCCTCTATCTCTATCCTCTTATGTCAACACGAACAAAATCAAAAAACCGTCCCCCACCCTTATATTACTCAAGCCACGTTGAGCTTGCGCCTTGATAACTCATTCTAAATTAACCTCGGTGAAAAAGCTATAAAAGTTGGAAATTGGAATGCTTGGCCAGGAACTAGTTCGGGATTATTCCAGTTAAGCCAAACAAAGCATCTCTAGGGTTGTCTCAGATGGATTACATACTTATTTTAGATGGATGCTCAACCTCATTCTTTCCAAAATCTTTCATCTGTCTTTTTTCCTATATCTGTCATCTGTCTTCATTATAGTAAATTCTACTCCCTCCGTTCCAGTTTATGTGAACCTATTTCCTTTTTGGTCCGTTCCAAAAAGAATGACCCCTTTCTAAATTTGAAAACAATTTAGCTTAAACTTCCAATTATACCCTTAATGAGAAGCTTTTATAACCACACATACTCTAGACCCCTTTTTTGACTTGTTTAGAACCAGAAATTCCAAAAGTCTTCATTTTTTCTTAAACTCCGTATCCAGTCAAACAGATTCACATAAATTGGAACGGAGGTAGTACCTTTTATTGACAAAACATGACAATAGCACACGAAGTTATGGTCTTTCATCAAATAGAGAAATGATAGCCTTGCTTATGAAAAGCATGTGTCTCCCTACCTTCCTTCTTCCTTGTTCTTTTTCCACCCATCTATAGAACTCTTTAATCCTGAGTAAAGTTCAATCTGACAATGAGATGTTTCCAAGCAGAATGACATATCTTATGCATTTGTAATGGATGATGAGCTATGTGCATGATTTAAATGTCATACAGAAATAAAGAAAACATAAATATTATCACAGCACCAAAGATTATGAGCTGAATTCAATTATATTTTCATGGCTTCCTCAGAAATAAATGTCACTAAAACCTGCATTTATTCGTATAATTCTCATCAAAGGAGTAGAGCAAAAAAGAGATTGTGTATCACGAAAAAGGGATATAAAAAACTGATAAATCCTATCTATCCTTCACCACCTGCCAATGGAAGTTCAGAATTTTCTGCAGGAGTACTAGATTCAATAAAGATGGAAGAGAGAAATGAGCAAAAAGGAAGAGGTATATCTGAATGATGTCCGTTTATACTTTATACTGATCATTTTAAAGGAGTACATGAATTGAATATAGTTAAAATGACAAAAATACAACTCAGATGTCATAAAATAAAGAGGTAAAATGGCAAACTCATTCATGGGAAAATGCAGCTCTCAATTCCTTTTTACATAGCTTCTAAAATGATACAAAGAAGAAAAAGGAGACATATCCATACCAATTAACCCATCCCGGGAACCTTTTCATTGGTAAAATGCCAAACTCATTCATGGGAAAATGCAGCTCTCAATTCCTTTTTACATAGCTTCTAAAATGATACAAAGAAGAAAAAGGAGACATATCCATACCAATTAATATGTCTCCTTTTTCTTCTTTGTATCATTTTAGAAGCTATGTAAAAAGGAATTGAGAGCTGCATTTTCCCATGAATGAGTTTGGCATTTTACCAATGAAAAGGTTCCCGGGATGGGTTAATTGGTATGGATATGTCTCCTTTTTCTTCTTTGTATCATTTTAGAAGCTATGTAAAAAGGAATTGAGAGCTGCATTTTCCCATGAATGAGTTTGGCATTTTACCAATGAAAAGGTTCCCGGGATGGGTTAATTGGTATGGATATGTCTCCTTTTTCTTCTTTGTATCATTTTAGAAGCTATGTAAAAAGGAATTGAGAGCTGCATTTTCCCATGAATGAGTTTGGCATTTTACCAATGAAAAGGTTCCCAGGATGGAGGAAGGGGAAGGAGAAGCAGAAGAACATTGCTAGAATTTCAACGACAACGATTTTACCTCAACAACTTGGTTTTACATGCACTTCAATGATGTCATCATCCTCCATCCCGAGGCTACTGGGAGTTGCAGTAGGATTAATTTTATCCCCATCAAAGCAGAAAACCATATTTTTCAGATCAAGCTTGACTTTATCAGCATACGATTTGAACAGCCTCTCAAATTTATCATCCTACGAGAGTATAGATAGGATTGAGTGTCATAATAACCTTTAATTCCTCGCTATGAAGCATGAACTTATTCATATCATCTACACGAACTACACAAACAACGGAGAGCCAAATAAGAAAGACAAAAAAAACATGCAGAAATATGAACCATGACGAGTTAACATGATATAGAAACAGCTACAAAGTGAAATAGTTCAAGGCCAGAACAAAAGAAAACAAGCAATATCTTGAAGATTAATGGCAAGTCAATGCTAACAAGTGCTGATCACTTCAAGGCATAAATTAATTAATCGCTTTGTAGTAGGATTAATTTTATCCCCATCAAATCAAAAAATCAAATTTTCCAGATCAAGCTTGACTTTATCAGCATACAATTTGAACAGCCTCTCAAATTTATCATCCTACGTGAGTATAGATAGGATTGAGTGTCATAATAACATTTAATTCCTGGCTATGAACATGAACTCATTCATATCGTCTACACGAACTAGACAAACAACGGAGAGCAAAATAAGAAAGACAAGAACATACAGAAATATGAAGCATGACGAGTTAACATGATATAGAAACAGCTACAGATTGAAATAGTTCAAGGCCAAAACAAAAGAAAACAAGCAATATCTTGAACACAAAATGGAAAGTCAATGCTAACAAGTGCTGACCACTTCAAGGCATCACTGGTAAATGTTTGAAGAGCGTCGATGACTGCCGTCTTTACTAATGGGTTAATTATCAAATGAGGTTATTGGGATATGATGTATCAATTTTCCAGATGGTAATTAAAGCTGTTGTTACTACAAAACAAAAAGTCTGGTGCAGTTATTAAGTTCATATACCAAACTACTATTTTGATTGTAACGGAAAGATGGTAGGAAACTAAATCCTGCAGCTTTTGGTACATACTTGTTCCGTCATAAAAGTAATACTCCAACAGAATCGAATAGATCCTAAAGTGAACCACTTTCTTAAATAAGACAATTTACAAATTAGTGATATTATATAATTCACTTTTTTTATATATACATAATTAACAATATGGCGTAAAACCAGCTATCAAGCTTTCAAGTGTTTGAAGCGCCATAAGAGATCACGAAACCATCCTACTAATTTCTTTCCTTGCATGCTCAAATATAAACTTATCTCCTTTATAGGAGGAATTACCTTGTCCTGTGCCAATCTCAACTCATTTATTTCTGCATATGTTACATGAACTCAAAAGCTAGTACCAGTAGATGTATGTACTTACACGTATACGGAGGTCTTTTAGTCTATTTTGCAGTGTTGTTAAAACTCACTTACATTTGGTCATATTTGTTCGACAATGATGCTTTTTTTACGAGGATGCTTTAACGCAAATGAAGATCAAAGTAACATAGAGGTTTTTCCATATTGCATTTTAAAGAGGAAAAGAGAAATACTTCAAAGAACTTTCTTCCCATTTATAGAACTAAAGCTTCCTACGATCTTAGCTTCCAAGGAAAATCAAATCATCGCACAACACTACTTCACAAACAACACTTGGCAAACNATTGAACTACATATGTGTAACACAATATGGCTGATAATTGTAAGCTACTTATGCAATAATAAAAAATAATGTGATTTAGTTTATCCAATACAAAAATACCTTGAAATCAATCAAACCAAGTCCTTTTTAGAAAAGCACTATACATTCATTCTTTAGGATAATTTCTTTGTGTTTGTATATTATCTGTTATTTAGGATAATATACAAGTACATACTCCATTCAAGTAGCTCGAAAAACACATCATGAGATAAGGAATGAAGGAGAGATAATAGAACACCTCCTTTAAACATTATGGTGCAGATGACATAACTACATCACAGATACGCAAACTTCTTTATATGTAGATAAGAATTGCACCCTCAAGGAATACCATGTAAACTCGAAATTGTTTTGCTCCATCCTTGTCCTGGATAGAAATGACTATTTTAGCTCTTTTAGTTGGGGGTTTTGATAGCGGCTCAGCAACACTATCTTGAATAGAACGGAGGGAAGCACAAAGATCTCTTTTTATAGATTCTTCAACATCTCGGAACTCATCCTTAGCTGAGTGGGCAATGGATTCCAGCTCTTTCTTTTTCAACCTAAGAACAGCCACTCATATAATAGTAAAGAGAAAAGGAGAAGATCAAGAGCAAGTGCATTTTAATTAATTAGTAATAGAAATCTTGTCAAAGACTACAGCAGCCTCATGTAGAAGAAGAAAAAGAAAAGAAAGAAACTCTCCATTTACTAAACCCTAAACATAAGAAATGGAGCATAGGTTGGTGGCAAGCTGTCATATGATAAGAATTTAATTGATGAATAAAAATATCAATGCTATTCAATGAAATACGGGAATCGATGGTCAATTTTATGCTTTCGCTATTTGCTCATAATCTATTTATTTGAATTTAATATCTCGTTGAGGAACTTAACTCATTAAAAACTTGCTATACCGGAGAAACAAGAATATCTAATCAGTTGCCACCTAAAGAAAGCAGGCATCAATGTTAGATTCACAAAAAAGGTAATTAATGTTTAATCAGCTCAATTAATTGATACTTGGAGAATCCAACTTCCAAAAGTGAAAACTCATGAGTTACAAAAGCTGATATTCCATTCAAAATACAACAACAACAAAACCCAGTGTAATCCCACGGAGTGGGTCTGGGGAAAGTAGTTCATAGGCAGACCTCACCTCTGCCTTGTGAATTCCATTCAAAATATGGAGAAAAAAAAGATCACCATAATCAAATCAGACACCAAATTAATTAAATTCGTTGAGCTGAAAATACTTGATCAGGTGCAACAACTTGCTATTATGAATTTACCTAATTTCCTTTATAGTTGAATCTTCAACAAGGTTACTAGTATGAGCAGAAATGTTTGGGGAAGGTGGCAGCCAATCCTCCTCTTCACCATCAATTATTTGAACAACTTCCATCTTGTCTTCTTTCTTTTCGACCTTTTCCAAGTCCAGCAAACATATAAATTAACATCAAGTTAAAAAATTGAAAAAACAAACAATTTACAGAACATTAAAGAAGAGAATTTTACAGCAGAATCGTTCACTTTCCGTTTCTTTGAGATTACTGGAGACGAGTCTGGACTGTCATCTGCGAGTTCAAAAGAAATATGACAAAAATCTTAAAAAGGAACCAGATACATATACACACACACATTAATAATGCTCCCTCACCGTCAAGGCAGACAAGATTGAAGGGAGTATTGAAGGGCTGAACACGTCTGTAATCAAAAAGCGGTTCCAGTTCTTCATTGGATTCCCCCTATGACAGAAAGAAAACTATCAAATTCATTAAACCCTAAGAAGAACCCTCCCTGTTGAAATACTGGCAGAAAGAAGAAGCAGAATCGCACCATTTCTGAGTTCCCCAAATCTCTCTCTCTCTCTCTCTCTCTCTCTCTCTCTCTCTCTCTCCCAGGAGTATTTGAGGGATTTTCGGATTGTCCCGCCGAGAAAGAAACTTCCAAGCGAATTGCCCTATGGTGCAATCCTTTTATTCTATTTTTTTTACGGGTCTTTTAGAAGAGATAAAATGGGAAATGAAAAGAAAAATGTATCAGTCCCTGCTTTCCCTTTTCCCCCTACATTGATTCGCATGACTTTTATTTGTGATTTTAAAAGTTTATGTGTTAAAAATTGTATAGTGCGATGATATTTGCGTGATTATAAAAAAAATTATTAATAAAATGGGTAAAAATAAAGAGTTTAAAGTTAAATTATTTTTAATTGTATAAATATGTCATTCTTTTTGAACACGCTAATAAGAAAAGTGTGTCATCTAAATTGAAATAGACATTTTCACTTTTACTTGTCTATTTTAACAAATCAAAAGAAAGATAATTTTTTTTCTTATTTTACCTTTATTATTAATTCTTGCTTCCATAATTACTTTTCAGGACTTTTAGAAATTCTATCATTATTAGGGGTTATATGGTAAAATACATACTACAATTATTATTTCTTAAGGGACGTAAAAAATTTAAGTGGACAAGTAAAAATAAAAAGAGTACTTAGAGAGAAAATTTAGAGTCAAAGAAATTTTTTTTCTTACAATCAACTCATTAAAAATGGGCCCTAGAGGATTTAAAAAATAATTCTTTCTTTTTTCATCCCATTATTTCCTTCTCTTCGTTCTTCCTCTACATTTTCTACATACGTTCTCTTTAATTAAACTACTCTAGAACTCCTAAAAGTATGCACGTTCTTTTTTTTAAAGTTTGTTTGGAAAGTCACCTTATAAATGGACTTGGGTGTATGTACTTATACAGTTTTAGATTTTTATCTGATAAAATATAATTACTTAATAATCATGAAATTGAATGCAACTGAGGGAGAACAATTTTTTTTTAATTTCAAGGAAGGTAATAATTGCTAGTAATTAAGAGATGCTTTTTAAATTCTCCTTTATATTTCTTTTTTGAATATACTCTACTAATCTTTTACACTCTTTCTATTATGTTTCAAATATGTGAGAAATGATTGCTGAAAATAGTTACACGTTTTATTAGATTTATTTTCTATTCATTAGTATAAATATTTATTATAAGAAAATATTTTCTAAAATTATATATGTAGAAGAAAAATCTTCCACGGTCGACCGGAGAAGGGACACCAACTACCAGTTTCGAATATTAATCGTAAAGTAGTGCGAGAAGTATAAACGAGACAGAAATAAAAATAAAAAACAAAATAATAATAATAATAATAATAATAATAATAATAATAATAATAATAATAATAATAATAATAATAATAATAATAATAATAATAATAATAATAATAATAATAATAATAATAATAATAATAATAATAATAATAATAATAATAATAATAATAATAATAATAATAATAATAATAATAATAATAATAATAATAAGTTTGTTCAACTCCTGTGATTCCATTATTAATATTATTTCGAGGAGCTAATGCTTCCTCTATGACCCATTCTTTGGGGAAGTTTATTTCATCCCATTTAATAGGTCTTTTGGTAGTGACTTTAGATCTACCAAAACTTGTTTCTATAAGAATAGTCTCATTTTTGAAATCCATAATTTTATACATAGGATTCAAAGTATATAAATGCTTATAATAAATTCTATAACAGATACATATAACTTCAATTCCTTGCATTTAATCATAACAATGCAATTTAATACTCAATATTAAAGCATTCAACGAATTTTCGTCACTTAGAGGAATTTGTAAATTCAGACAAGCATTAAAATATACAGGGTCATAGGCCAAACAGGTTTGCACCATCCCTATAAGGGATTTTTTCTAGTTCTGATTTCTGCCATCTCTGAGAGCTGCTATAAAGCTTTCAGGTAAGCCTCTTAATGTAAGTGTCTTAAAGGCAACTTGTATTAGACCAATATGTAAAACTCTATGAGTTTTTCTATAAGGGGCTAGATCATTATCAGAAAGCAATTTAAAAGTTTCATGATCACTATCTACAGTGATCGTCTCTTCCGTAGTTTTAACTACCTGTTTTAAGCCCGATTTTTCAATAATAATAATAAGCACTCTTGGTTCATAAAGCTTTGTGTTGATATGTATGAACAACATATCCCAAATTTGGCTGAAGCCTATCAATTCAGACGCAATCAAGAGATACTATATTTAGATTGTTTACATTTCTTCAACTGATGTAACTGAATTACGCTTGACCTAATTCCCGTTTAAGAGGGGATACGTAGGCAGCCCTGTGGGTTCGGTCACATCTTAATAAAATCTTTATTTTTTCCATTGTAAGAAACTGGGGCAGAGTTTTGATAAGGATCTTCAAAATTCCAAAGCAAGTCCAACCAACTTCATCATATGCAGAACAGTCAAAAAATTACTTATTAAATTGGGGTGGAATTTTGAGGAGGACCCTCAAAATTCTAATGCAAGGAAGTTGCAATGTCTCAAAAGTGTCGCAGTCATTGATTCATCTAATTTACTCAGTATCATAAACTACTATGTTTAAAATAACTAGGTAATCAAATGCACGCATATTTTTCGAAAACTTTACTTCTATAGCAGCTAGATGCTGCCCAAGGTAACTCAAACAGGATCCCCAGAGCAAAGCAAGCAGGCGAGTGCATGAACCAACCTTCCCCGCAAAACTCACATTTTTTTCTTTGGATGCAGGCACAATGAACATGACAGGAGTAATTGCTAGTATACACGTATCAAAATCACTATCCTCATAATGATAAGGCTGCCAAACGCAAATATGTCTCCAGATAAGAAAATACTCTGCTATCACTCATTATCTTTTCTTTGCATGAGGCTAAGCACTGCCTCCCATTTTGCATAAGGCTTAGCACTGCCTTCCCCTGTATGAGACTAAGCATTGTCTCCATTTTGCTTGAGGCTAAGCCATGCCTCCTTACTGCATAAGGCTAAGCACTGTCTTCCCCTGCATGAGGCTAAGCCTTCCTCCTTAACTGTATAAGACTAAGCACTGCCTTTCTCTGCATGAGTCTAAGCCATGCCTCCTTAACTGCATAAGGCTAAGCACTATCTTTCCCTGCATGAGACTAAGCATTGTCTCCTCCTCTTTGCACGAGGCTAAGCCATGCCTCCTTAACTGCATAAGACTAAGCATTGTCTCATCTTCTTGCATGAGGCTAAGCCCTACCTCCTCAACCGCATAAAGGTAAGCATTGTCTTTCATTGTATGAGACTAAACCATGTCTCCTCTTCCTACATAAAGCTAAGCATTGCCTTTAATTGCATGAGACTAAACACTGTTTTCCTTTCTTGCATGAGGCTAAGCATTGCCTCCCCAACTGCATAAGGCTAAGCTCTGTCTTTCCTTGCCTAATACAGAATGCTACGCTACTTAAAATCTAGTACTATTTTGCCTTCCCAGGGGCTAAGCTCTGTCCCAATCTTATGCAAGACTAAGCTCTGTCTTGTTTCGCTTCTTATGTGACCCAGCATCATGTCTCTGCATTTCATAGGCTGAAACATCGCCATATTATCCAAAGGCGTCATAGTTTGAAGGCATCATCCTCATAGCCTGAAGACACCATGTCATGGCCTGAGGATCTCTCAATACTGCACATCATTATTCAAAGGCGTCATGGTTCAGAGGCACCATTTTCATGGCCTGAGAACATCATTTCATGACCTGCGAATCTCTTATCACATGATTCAGATTCCGGGATGTCATGGTCTAAGGACATCATCCTCACCGTCTGAAGACCATCTATATGGTCCAAAGAGAATTTGCATCATGTTTAAATTCTCGCAATAACCCATATATGTTTGCATGCATCGTGTTTTAAGTTTTACAGGTAATTTAGGAAGTAACTGTTATTCAAACGGGAGCAATCTTCGCTCCGGTTTCCATTCACAATGTTCAAATTCTGCAAATATTTTAAACGTAACTGACTCCCATCAATTACTCACTTTTCTCTATGGCTATTCAGATACTTGCTCTATAACACACCCGTTACGCTTCAGATTCACATTCATAACTCTGCACCCGATACTATCCTTCACAAAAGAATGCTTTCCAAAACACACGACCATTCCTATAACAATTCCATCGGTTTCATTCACCGTTGGGTCCAGAACTACACATGGCCTGATTCCTGTAAAACTAGGGATATGTAGGCAACTCACAAACTGGAGTTCGGCCTCTATTTTTTTAAATCATCTCATTTTGTGACGACCCGGCTGATCGTCTTAAGAATTTACGCCCCGATCCCCTATTAACCGCTTTCCTCGAGTTTATTTCTGCTATTTCGATTTGCCGGGATGTTCGTTTTTGAGTTTCGGAGAGTTTTGGGACACTTAGTCCTTAAATGAGAACTTAAATGTTGAAAAGTTGACCGTAGTCGGAACAGTGTGAAGACGACCTCGGAATGGAAATCCGATCATTCCATTAGCTCTGTTGGGTGATTTCGGGGTTAGGAGCGTGTTCAGATTGTGTTTTGGAGGTCCGTAGCTAATTTAGGCTTGAAATGCCGAAAGTTGAATTTTTCAAGTTTCAATTCCGATAGTGAGATTTTGATCTGAATGTCGGAATGGAATTTCCGAAAGTTGGAGTAGCTCCGTAGTGTTGAATGTGACGTGTATGCAAAATTTCAGGTCATTCGGGCGAGGTTTGATAGACTTTTTGATCGAAAGCGTATTTTGAGAATTTTGGAGTTCTTAGGCTTGAATCCATGGTTAATTCGAGGTTTCGATGTTGTTTTAGGTGTTCTAAGGATTGGTACAAGTTTGGATAGTGGTTTGTGACTTGTTGGTGCCTTTGGTTGAGGTCCCGGGGGCCTCGGGATGAATTCAGATGGTTGACGGAAAGATTCTTGAGTTAAAGTTGCAGCTTCAACTGCTGGTCCTGTCATAACCACACCCGCGGTTTGAGTTCCGCAGGTGCGGTGCCGCAGAAGCGGCTCAGAGGTCGCAGAAGCGGTTTTGGGCAAAAGGGAGTCGACCGCATATGCGATCAAGTAACCACAGAAGCGGCACCGCATCTGCGGTAAGGTAGTCGCAGGTGCAGAAGTCCCTCTT